CGTTAAAACCTGGCTATGTCGGCAGGCCTGGGGTCGATGAGTTTCCTTCCCCTCTCAAATTGTGCGGCTGTTGGTTGTTTTAAAATGCCCTTTATTTTTTGTTGTAGTTTTTGTGTTTCTGTTTCCCTCCTTGGGTTTGTGCGCTGCCCTGAGTCCCGCTGGGAATAGGGCGGAATATAAATAAAATGAACCTCGAACCTCGAATGCCTTTTTGGCAATGTTGTTACAATGACCTCTGGGGCTTAGGTCTTTTGAAATGAGTACTCCTAGATCTTGGACATAGTATGGCACATCTTTTTGATCATTTCTGCCCAGCTTGTATTTGATGTTCTGATTTTTTTGCCAATGGGTAGGACTGAGTGTTTGTTAGCAAAGATTTGGAGTTGCCAATTGTTTGACCATTCAGATACATAATCTAGGGCATTTTGTAGAGTAGTAGAATTGCCTGTGGTGTTAAATAGTTTTACATCATCAGCAAAGAGGATGCAGCTGCTTATAATATGATCACAAAAGTCATTCATGTAAAGTGGAAAGAACGTTGGTTCTAGAACGCTGCTTTGGGGAACACCACTGTTAATAATGTATGAGTTGCAGATTACAGGACAGGGTTAGATATAGTGTTTCCAATTTTGACTACTTGTTGCCTGTTTGATAGGAATGCAGCTATCCACTTGTGCAAAGATCCAGAAATGCCATAAGAACTTAGTTTTAACAGAAGTTTGTCATGTACCATTGAATCAAAGGCTTTGCAGAAGTCTACGTAGATTGCATCTATTGCTTTACCCTGGTTGACTTGAGCGGTCCAAATGTTTTTGCAGTGTATGAGTTGCAGATTACAGGACAATTTTTTCCTGAAACCAAAATGCTTATTAGAAACTAGGTTGTTTGTCTCTAAGTGGAGGGTGATGGATTGATTTATGATGGATTCCATGGCTTTACAGGTGACGCAATAAAGGAAGATTGGTCTGTAATTCTCAACAAGGCTGGGGTCTCCTTTTTTGAAGATAGGTATGAATGTTACTAATGACCATACATCAGGCAAGATGCTCGTTCTAAAAGATACTTCATAGATGATGCTTAGAGGTTCAGATAAGGTGGTGAAGAGCTTTTCCAGAAAGTAGGCACATATTCCATCGGGGCCAACAGAAAGAGATGGCTTTAGGTTGTGTAGTGCCCTTTTGACAGTATTTTCAGGAAAAGTGATGTTGAGAAAGACTGCAGAAAATATTATTAGGAGACTAAAACATATGAAGAACTGTTGCAGGACCTGGGTATGTCTAGTTTAATGAAAAGAAGGACTAGGGGAGGCATGATAGCAGTGTTCCAATATCTCAGGGGTTGCCACAAAGAAGAAGGAGTCAAGCTATTCTCCAAAGCACCTGAGGGCAGGACAAGAAGCAACAGATGGAAACTAAACAAGGAAAGAAGCAACTTAGAACTAAGGAGAAATTTCCTGGCAGTTAGAACAATTAATCAATGGAACAACTTGCTTCCAGAAAATGTGGGATCTCCAACACTGGAGGTTTTATAAATGAGATTGGACAACCATTTGTCTGAAATGCTATAGGGTTTCCTACTTGAGCAGACAGGTTGGACCAGAAGACCTCCAAGGTCCCTTTCAACTCTACTATTTTATTCTATAAGGGAGGGACAGGTCAGCTAATTTCAGGCTCATTACTAAGTTCCTTCCACATTTTCCATCGAGATTCACAGTTATTTCACTATAAGTAATGAAAACATTAAAATTAGAATGAATGTATAATGCAGAATTAAATCTTGTCTCTGCAACTGCCAAAGGTAAAGGATTAAAGATATAACACTTTTAGAGCAGCAATTTGTAACTGATCTTCCAACTTTCCAGCAGAAAGTTTAATCAACTTCCTTTTTTAAAACGCTGACATTTTTTTTGAAAGAATGCTCAATACACACCTACTTCATTTGCACGGTGGATATAAAACAGATCAAAATCCACCTCCAGTCTTGTATCCCAGCGTACAAGTTTTCCTGCCATTAGATCCATCATTCGCTCAAGAAAAGGCAAGGAAAGATTGTACAACCATTTCTCTGAAGGATTTTCTGCTTGAGCAGGAGGAGGAGTTGGACAAGAAGACCTCCAAGTCCCTTCCAACTCTGCTACAATCATTTCCATAAAGGAGATTTCTTGACACAATAATGGGCAATCCTCAGCTTATAACCACCACTTGGAATCAGAATTGAAGTTGCCAAGAGAGGTAGTTCAATGAGTCACGCCCACTTTTACAATTTCTTTTTTGCCAGATTTGTTGACCAAATCGCTGCAGTTGATAAATGAATCTGGCGTCCCCAATGGGCTTTGCTTTCAGATGCTGTCTGGGAAGGTTGCAGATGCTGATCATGTGGCCCTGTGATGCTGCAACTTTTGTAAACACACGGTGGTTGCGAAGTGCCTGGATTTTGATTATGTGTCTAAGAGGATGCTGCAATAGTTATAAATGGGAGGGCCAGCTGTATTTCACTTTTTTTCAGTGACGTTGTAACCTTGAACAGTTGCTAAATGAAAGATGGTAAGTTGAGGACTTGCTTGTATGTATTACATTGTATGTGTATAAACTTAGTAAGCCTGTTGTGCTCAGGCTAAGGGCATTGTGTGCTCATTCTGTTAAATGCAATTCTTAGACTCCTACTCCAGATTTTGCTATTGTTTTAATACCTTTCTGTAATTATCAGCCCAAACATTCTAGCTTTAGAGAGGGCTTCCCTTATCAAAGAATAGCGAAATAGTACAGTGTGTCCACTCCTCTGCTGTTTACTGCATTATTGTGAGATAAATAATTGCGGCATTTTAGCAAAGACTGTGAAAAATAAAAAGCCACAACAATCAGGTGGTTATGTTAAAAGAATACACATTTCAGCAGGGCAGGTGCAATCAAGTCTTTTGAGATAAATTGTCCCCAAATGTGCTTCTAATGTAATTGTAACACTCTAGTTGGAAGTAGGCTAGAGAACCAGATCTGGATTTTTATGTTTCGTTATTGATTGAAATTAATGATTAATTCAACCAGCCAGGTTGGCCTGATAAGATAAGAGGGTTCGCCCAGGGTCAAGTTGACCATTGCGGGAGGCTCATCCCACATGTGTGGAGAAGCTGGAGAATGGGGATGGACCATGCCACCCACCACAGCCAATCTGACTCTGGGCGAATCAGTTGTTAAATTATCTGAATCCCACCACTGGACCAAGACTACTTACGTTATGGAGTACTTTTCTTATGGTACCAGTCCAGATGGCTACTGCTATTCTCTGATAATCACCTGATGTTTCTGATTCTGAATCAGTTTGCCTTTCTGGATCTTACACAATAGACCTCAGAAACTTCTATAAAGTCTCCAAATACGGCACCAGTGCAATAGCAAGTTTGATGTAGTAGTTAGCCAGGAGACTATGAGTTGTTGGCCTGTCTTAAATATGAAAGTTGTCTGGGTGACGTTGGGCCAGCTGCTTTCTCTCACAGGATTATTTCTGTGGGGAAAATAGGAAGCGGGAAAATTAGATCTATATTCTGCCTTGAGTTATCTACAAAAAGACAAGATAAAAATATAATAACAACATCTCTCTGTTTACATTTTCCAACAGTTAGTAATGATAGGCATGATGCCTCCGATGCAGAGAGTGATAAATGTAGCAGCCTTCATATTTCATTTATCTCAAAGATTTCTTTTGCCAGAAATCTGACAAAAACTGTTAGATACTAGCTTCAGCTATAGTGGTTTCTACTAAGATCCTCTGTTCCGGCAGGAACAGAGGTTTAATCTCATTGGTCGAAGTGTCTGACAGCTCCCTGCTGTCAGACTCAACCTTCACTGGATTGCACATAGTTGCTACTGAGTTAATAAAGAGCTGTTGTTACCGTTAGCCTGTGTGTGCCTTTCCATTNATAAAAATTGGCACCTAATACAGGATTGTTTTTGGTTTTTGTAATAAAAGGGAAAAGAGGAGGGAAAAAAGCACTGTGTGGAGTGCAGATCAAAATGTAAGAGTAAAAGTAGTTGTTAAATTGTGAAACAAATTTAGAAGCCATGTCTGAAAAAAGAAATATGCTCATGTTCCGCACTTGCGCAAAAACCGGTGGGCGGTGAGGAATTTTTCCATCAAGAAAGATCCATTAGTGGGTGGTAGGTAGAAAAAGGTTGACTACCACTGGACTAGATAGTCACATCTGAAATAGTGCTTGAGCAGGGGGCTGGCCTAGAAGACCTCAAAGGTCCCTTCCAGCTCTATTCTAAATAAAAGGGTGACTCTCTGTGAAAAATTTGCTCTAATTTTCTCTAACTTGCAGATTTCTCTTAATCTACAGACCCCCAAAGGGACGTGTGCTGAATCAGTGAAAATTGCCATTGATGCTGGTTATCGTCATATTGATGGAGCTTTTGTGTATCACAATGAACATGAAGTTGGACAGGCCATACGGGAGAAAATTGCGGAGGGGAAGATCAACCGCGAAGACATATTTTATTGTGGCAAAGTAAGACATCTGAGTCCATTCCTTTCCTCGGAATAAGGATGAAGCACGTTGTTGCTTAAACTGGTGTTTTGCCTCCTTTTTCTCCTTCTCAGATCAGACAGGAAGCTCGGGGAGCAGAGGCTACCTCAGGAATTCTGGGAGTTGAAGTCTACAAGTCATAAAGGGGCCACCTCTGAGCTAGAACCTAGATTTACCATTTTTTATTGCAAAGATCCTGCAATTCTTCCTCCTTTCTGTTATATCTGCTGCTGCTATTATGTTGATGATGATTTTAGAGGAATCTTTAGGCTGTCCTTTCATGGCAGGAACCCTCTCAGTGAGATTTTCAATACAAGTAATAATAAAAGTAACCCGGGGTGGGCTTCAAAAACTTTAGCAATGGGTTCTCTGCCTCGTTGCTGAGTGGGCCTCCTGTACCACAGCCTCCTGCACCACAGGGCGGGTCGACCTCCCTGGGGAGCCTCCGGAAGGGTGAAAACAGTCTCTCCCAGGTTTCGAGGCCCCCAGGAGGCCCATTTTCCCCCTCCTTGAGCTTTCGCCCTGTACTTACCTGGCATCCCAAACGGGCCATGTAGGGACTCCTTGGAGGGGACGGGTGGGAAGGGAGGGAAGGATGGGTATGGCCAGCCAGGGGTGGGATTTGTGTGTTCTCCTGGGCAGATTCTTAGCTAGAGATTCTCCCAAACCCGTGCAAAGGTGCAGCAATCCACCCCTGAAAGTAACTGATAATTAGTCTAACCCAGTGGTAGTCAACCTGGTCCCTACCGCCCACTAGTGGGCATTCCAGCTTTCATGGTGGGCGGTACGGGTTTGCTGTAACTCTGCTTTATAAATTTTATAATGTAAAGTTACTTCCCTATTTTATAAGTAACCATTACTGTGGAACTGGTGGGTGGTTAGAAAATGTTACTACTAACAGAGATACTAAAGTGGGTGGTAGGTATAAAAAGGTTGACTACCCCTGGTCTAACCATATGTCCTCTATTATAAAGGACTGTCTTTTATTTCAGAAAGCAGTCCTTTAGATTTATTTCATTACTTTTTTGGTTTTCCTCTTGAATTTTCTTTGGTAAAGCAAAGTTATAAACAGGAAAAAAAAACCACCCCAAATGCTCATGAACCTGTTTTACATTTGCCCCCTTTTTAAGTTTGTTCTTTATTTTTTCCCAAGAAAATATGGCAATACTGATAATAAAAGAAACATCCTGACCCGCTATACATTAAAAAAAAAACATGCAGTCTGATAAAAAACACAACTTCAGAACAGACTGGAGGGGGAAAAATAAGTCATTACAATCTAAGACATAATGGAATCAACAAAATGTTTTAAGTAGAACATGAATGAGTTTTCTTGGGGCTGGGAACCTTCTCTTTTAAAAAAAATGGCTTTCATCTCTAAGGCGCTGAGAAAGCTGTGGCAGAGCTGTGATAGCATCTGAGTGACTTGAAGAAAAAAAACCTGGGGCCTATTTGGGGGGGGGGGGTTGGGCAGTTTTGAAAAAGCTAATTGAGTGCCCTAAGTCTTGCAGAAATTTAAGCTCTCCATTTTACTGCTCCAAATCCCCTAGTGGCAGTTTTACATTTGCAGGATTTTTTTTGGCAGTTCTTTAAAAATTAAACTCAGAAACGCCAATGTTTGAAGGGGAACAGGAACTCCAAAAATGTTGGGGCGAAGCCTCCTTAAAATTACAAAGGCTTTTGATAGCAGAATAGAAAATATGAATGTGGTTTTAATTAACCTTGACCCTGCCACTTTAAACAATGGGCTTTCAGGCAAGGGGGGGGGGAATCCGTGCAAATAAAAGTCAGATTCTGTTAAGAGATCAGTCTCTGAAGCAGTTCATTGATCTACGCTGGAAAAAGCTGTTGTGAGGTGCAGGAAATGGCTAATTTCTTGTGTCTGAAGCTTGATTTTCTTGAAGAGGAAGAAGAGGCCACTAGAATCTCTGAAGAAATCTTTAAATTCCAATCAAGCAAAGTTTTGGAAATAAGAAGAATTCAGTTTTAAACCCTCAGTTAAAAGACTGCTCATTAGGTTGCCATTTCCAGGCAATGTTCAAGTTATTGATATAAAAAAATAGAGCTCATTTCTGATAATGTACAATTATGTTACTGAAGACACTGAATGCAACATGAAATGAGCTGCAATTACAATTCCCTTAGCAGTAGCAGTAGCACTTAGACTTATATACCACTTCATAGTGCTTTTACAGCCCGCTCTAAGCCATTTACTGAGTCAGCGTATTGCCCCCAACAATCTGGGTCCTCATTTTACCCACCTTGGAAGGATGGAAGGCTGAGTCAACCTTGTGCCCGTGAGATTTCAACTGCTGAACTGCAGCTAGCAGTCAGCTGAAATAGCCTGCACTACTCCACTCTAACCACTGTGCCACCTTGGCTCCCATCCCTCTTTTTTGCAGCTCCCCCAAACCTAAATAGATAGCCATGTTGGAGCAGGGAAAATACAAAAACTGTAAGTTCTGTAACCGAAATATATCATTAAAAAATAATAATAAAGTATATATGCCTGGTGGAAAATCCTAGCTTTGTTTATATGCATCAGGGGTGTCAAACTCAATTTCATTGGGGGCTGTCTCAGGGTTGTGTTTGTCCCAAGCATTAAAATGTTGCCTATTTGTGCCCTACAAAAATTACCAGGTCTTCCTGCTAGTCTTCCTCTGGCATTTTAATTCATAGCTTGATCATGCCTTACAAAAGAACTAAATCATATCACTGACAAATAACTTGCATTTGTTTTCTGGAACAGGCATCTATAGTTTTTAGAAACCTGATTTACTGTTTGGATCATGGCCATCATCAGGATCACCATCCTTATTTTAATCTTTGTTTTTAGTTCTGGTGGAACACTATGTTTGTTTTCCTGAAGAAACAAAAACTTTTTGGATAATTTGCTTTCAAAATTGGAGTTATTATCTTAGATTTATTGAAATTCTTTTCGTTGAAATTCTGGTAAAGGAGTCAGATGGGTTTCATCAATGAAATAGCTTCATCCCTAGTTAAAAAGTTCTGCTTGCAAGATCACCCTGTGAGACTGCTTCCTGCTGCTGATGGACTAGAGAAAAATTACTCCCTACAATACTCTAAATTTCTTCAGTAACTGCAAGAGTAATTTTGGAGTCTTAGTGGAGAGTGTGCTGCAACTGCCAAAAAAAGCCAAAGCAGGCAGCATTAACAAAGGAATACAATGAAGATCAAACATTAATACCATTTTATAATGCCTTGAAATATTTCATCCAGTTTTGGTCACCACGTTATAAATAAGATTGATTTTATTTATTTATTTTATTTATTTATTTTATTTATTTATTTTATTTATTTATTTTATTTATTTATTTTATTTATTTATTTTATTTATTTATTTTATTTATTTTATTTATTTTATTTATTTTATTTATTTTATTTATTTTATTTATTTTATTTATTTT